AAGAAGACGGGAAAAGTGAGGAAATATATTTTGTTTTATATTTTCCCCCTTTCTTTGTCTTATTTTATTGAAACGCAAAGTCGGCATTCTCAACTATTGGAGAGGGGACAACGACGACGGCATGTCAAATTTGACTCTACCCTCACCACAGCTCGGTGGTCTTTGAAAATGGAGACACTTCTTGTTAAAGTCAGCCGCAACATTTCACTAAATGACCATTTGATTCGAGTATAGCAAGAATTGAGTGTAAGTAGAAAGAATCGCCTTTTCCACCAGATTTGTGGCAAGGTCTCATGAATTTAAATTGAAATGGCTAGATAGAACCGTAAGTTCTATGCTAACATTTTCTTCTATCGCACTTCTCGCTTGTGAACTCTCTTCCTGTTTCTAGCTTCCCAGTCAACGTTGATCTCCAAAAATGTAAATGCGATGACAATCGTTATCTTCTGTCTTTTCATTTATTCTTCTTTTATTTTTCTCTCTCCTTAACAGTATTTTCCGTTTTTTTTTTTTACATATTTTCTAATACTCAGTAAGGCCTTGCTTCTTAGTGATTTTATTGACTTGCTTGAAGTGAAATGCTTTAAATAAAACAAAACAATTTTTTTGTGGTAAAAAATCAAGACATTTCGCCTTCACATTTTTGTTGACGGTGCCAAAATATTTTGAATAAGTCAAATCAATAGAATTGTCCACTGCCTCCGCAGATAGGAATGCAATAAAAAACATTTGGTTAATTATACAAAGAGAATGGTAAAACAATATTAAATAAAAAACATCTGGAAAGCAATGAAACTCTTGTAAATTAATGTTAAATATAAGTAGAACAATTACAAAAAGTGACGCGCGTATGATTTATGTCCATTATTTATTATCAAGAAGTCTATATTAACACGTAAAGTAATAAAACAATAATTCAATCATGTATACCGTATAATGTGTTAATTAAATTTATAATTGTAACCTATATCTTTTGCATGATGATGTAAGTCCGGTACACTTCACTGAGAAGTAAAATGCTGCGGCTTCAAGCTAGTCATTGCTGCTGTCCTTTCTGTAGCAGGTGTTTTTTTTTAGAGGAGAAATTTCTACCCATGTGCAATAGGTTCTGATTTCAGAGTTTTCCTTCTCCTACACAGGTTAGCAAACGATAAAAGAGAATTCAGTCTACCCAGCTGTATCCTCTTTCATCGTTATTTGAGTAAAAACAACGGTCATATCTGAGCTTGTATGCATAACATAATCTGAAATGCGTGAAATAAGTTATTGTTAATTGAATCACATACAGTATTTTGATCATATGACTATAATTGTAGTCCGAAAAATATTAGGTCAGATAATACCAATTTTGTCATGAGGAAATTGCTTTGCGTAATAAAATTTACATGATTCACATTAATTACACGCGGACTATAATCCATATCTTTGTTCTCGTTATCACAACGTTTCGGGCGTTGTGTTTTTCGGTCTTCATCTGTGTAACCTACAGGGAATTTCGAACTGAAACCTTTATTTAATCTCCGGCGGAGTGTAGCTGTTCTCGTGCTACTGACTATGTCTAGGGATTTCTCATCTAATTCCTCTTTTTAGTACATGGAACAGTAGCATAGTAGATTAAAGTCATTTAAATTTAGTGAAAGTCATTGCGAGTTTAATCTGTGAGGCGGTCAGTGTGCAGTTTAACTCAATTACAACAGGACGAGTTATAACTGAGTAGTACTAATAAAGAACACAGAAGAATCTGCCAAAGTTTTATTTTGTTATGTGCTTTTGCATTTTTCATGCTAGAGAATAACACGTATTCTGATTAGCAAAAGCCACATTTGACGTAGTTGCTGGTTATAAACGTCGACAGAGACGGTCCTCCACGTTTCAGTAGCTCTTAATGAACGAAGTCTTTAAGATTCCACCGGAAAAAGTAAGAAATGTGTCTGCTAGTTCTGTGATAACCGTTGTTTTTTCTTTTCTTTTTCTGTCGACATGCAAAACCCATTTGTTATCACCTTTAACAATGGAATGCAGAAGCCTGCGTAGTTACTATCTTTAGTTGTAACTATTTCTTTTTGTTAGAATTGTAATGTCCCTTTACAGATTTCTTATCTTTATTATTATTATGAATTGCAATACAGTTTTAGAGAAAATCGTGGGCGTGGTTTCCTCTTGCTTACCAGTCTAGGTGAAAGAATATTCTGAATACAAAAAAAATCAAAGAGAAGGCAGCAGACATACAGCAATTTTTTTTTCTGAACATATTATCGCAATTGCGAGATAATATGAAAGGAAACTGTGAAGAGCCATGATCACCTACATCTTGAATGTAAATAGTATTTATATAGATATACGTGTGAGTTTAAACCCGGTTCTTATTGTTATGTAAATACTGAAAAAATAAGTGAAAAAGTCGAGAAACGAAGCCGAATTGTTTTTAAACGCAATGGCAGTATTGCGTATTGATCGTGAAAAGACAGCAATAACTATGAAATACACAGAAAGTAGGAGAAAATCAAGATATGAACAAAAACAATTCCAAAAGCACAAGAAAGAGAAGGATGACATTTATTTATTTATTTCACATTTTTTTTTGGAGAAGTGTTCATTGCTTGAACAGCGTTCTTATCAGTCCAGAGATTTTGCTGAGAGATATTCGGCTATAAATTGCCAGATCTCGTGCGCAGCGAGAATTGATTCGAGTTCACGTTCGTCTTGAAGGTTTCTTTCTCTTTATATTATTTTACAAGCAATCGATCCATGCAATCCTCAGCAGATTGCAGATCTTTATTTTTGGTCATTACTGTTTAACAGGAATCGAAATAAATTTTTGAGCGTAACACTTATCAAATAGAGGAAGTGAACAATTTTTCCCCTGTTAGAAAACTATTGTAGCCTCTTTTTCCTCACATCGTGAACAATATTACTTTCGTGGCGAAGAAGCAAAAAGAGTAAACGAAATGTAGCCTAATTGCAGTTATTTTATTTTTTGTTTAATGTAAAATTCTTACACTTCTAATATAGACACCATATTGCGTAACTATTTGGACTATAAGGACGCCAAACTTGTTCAGCAATATTTTTACTGTCATCTGTATACGACTGCTTTTAAGAAATTTCTTTTAAGAAATTTACAGTATGAGTAATTGAAAAATGGTTCAAATATATATATATGTATACATACACACTTTTTTTTTTACCAAACTATCGCTATGAATCTATTTCAAAAATTTTTGCATTAAATGACTCACTGAGGTTGATATGCCATAAAACAAAACGACCGACCAACTAACCAAATACGTCCGCTTACTGATATCATGACACCCTCGTGGAGGGGGGGGATGACTGAATATCGGTATCAATGAGCAATTGAAGCCTGTATGTCGTAGGGAGAGCCATCCTTCGCTGAAGCTTGTGAACTGGCGCTACAGAATGACAAATCTACCAAATAAGTGATAATTTATCACTTAAGGACTTTCAACAGGAGTAGTAACTAAAATGAAAAGCACATGTAACTCAAATAAAGAACAATGACATAATCAAAACGTTAAATTTCCACACTTGTTCAAACAAAACCTCTCATTAATACTAGAAAGAGCAAAAATAGATGTTGGGCTTGGAAACTTTTTTTTTTTTACTGAGAAACAGTAGTAATAGAAAGGTTTGGTAAAATTGTGCCCTCGTACCAGCAAGAAAAGAAAAAAAAAGACTGTCAAAATGACGGTTTTTCTATTGACAATGACATTATTTTTACTATATTCATCCCTCAGCAATGTTTATTGTTTTAAAAAGCGATCATTAGAATTGTAATAAAACCAAACATACGATGAAAATGAGTTTAAACACTTTTTTTTGAAAATTTAAAACCAAAATGTTCAAAAATATCTGATTGTTTAATTACAAGAATCATTTTATATTTATAAGACTCTAAAAGGTGACTATAACTGATGCAATATATTATCTATTCTTTACTAATTTATAAAAAAAAATAAGTATTCATAAATTTATAAATATTTACTAAAATATAAAAAAAATATATGAACCAGCTATAAGGAAATCCGTATTATTTACCATTTTATAAAGTTAGAATGAATTGGCTGATATTTTGCTCACCTTTCCAACAAACAATATATTAAATAGTGTAAATACACAATCTAATAAAATGTTTTTTTTTTTTAAAGTTTTTTTGTCAATTCTCAAAAAGAAAGGAAATGTAGAAATTATGTTTAGGGTTGATTAAAATGCTAATTATTCTTTTGTAAAGCAATACACATTGCCAATGTATGAAGGTAGTTAATATAATAGCGGTGTCAATGGAAAAGCCATCACTTTGGCAATGTTTTTTTTTTGTGGGCACAATGGTCCAAGTTTACTAAATAGTTTATAAATTCCAACCGACAATAGCTTTGACTGATTGAACACTGAATGCCGAAAATTAGGAAGCGGTAAATATTACTATTACGATTACATTTAAGACAAATATCATTAACTTGGTCGTTATAATTATAATTCGGTTCTTTTTCAAGTGCTTAGTGCATTTCAGGAGCCGCCTACGAATTTGATTCTTTTATTCATTTCACCACGGTGCATTTTTTTTGTGTGTGTCCTATAACTAATTACCGTCGTAGCTGCGACACATGTACTACCGCCATAACAACACTATTGTGTTGGCAAGGTAACCTAACGAAGCCTATAGAATGAGTCCTGAATCCAGAGTTTTCCTTCTTCTTGATTAGTTTCCACCTCAAGCCAATAGAACCCACTCGATCCTACAACCACTTCTCCCATTACTGTAGAAAGTGAAAGATGGATTCTTACCTTTCCTAAATAATGATTTACTGATACATGTCCTTCAAAATTAGCCCCTAGCTTTAAGAAGAAGAAGTGGATAAATAGATTTCCCAAAGGATAAATGCGTATAAGTAAATATAACGAACCGACTGGGATTGGAACTCGGCTCTCCGACTTGGGATTCCGGGCCATTATTCATCACACCACCTGCACATCTAAGTTTACAGCACGTGACATTCCCACGCGGTCACCCACATAGTTATAGAACAAGCTCGATGTTACTTAACTTTGGTGATCGTACGAGAAACAGTGTTTCATTATGATATGATCGTAAGCCCGGGTATTTTCTGGAGAGCTAGAATGAGCCGACCATTTTCCCATCATCTTTAGCAATCAATTTGTTCATAAGATGCCGCTTTTCTTTTTAAACGGAACTCCTTTTTGGCTTAATGTTTTTCCCCAAGTAATTATTACGGCAGATATCTGAATATGCAGAGAATACAATATCAGAGATATAACAAATACAATGTAGATGAGGAAACGAATCCAAATTGATAAACGCATAATAATGAACCCTCTTCATATTAGAAATTTGTCTACGTACATCAGATCTCAGCGAATCGATTTGACTGTATCTTAGAGGTGTGTGAGTCTCTCAGCACCACATCGACATACGAATATAGCTTTTTCTCTACTAAGTAAATACAGTCAGTAGATTATCAAAAATAGAAAATATCTGTCCGCCCATATTCGTAGCCTAACAGCGTAGTCGTAACATAGTTTTCTAGTTACAGACCACATATTTCTCTAGCGTTTCCAGTATAGACAAATATTTCAGTTTATTGATATAAATAAATAGCATTGTTACCTTATCTTGGGGCTGGATTTTTTTTCAATCTCCTCTCTACAGAAAATAGTTAATTTTAGCTCTTCATAAATTCTTCTCTTTATTATCTGTAAGTTGCTCTGATTTTTAGATAATGGAGTGATTTCCAATTCCATCTTCACTATTTTGAAATCGGACTTTTCCTTAGTGATTCCATACAACTCTATTATTTAAAACACGCTTTTCACGACTACTTCGAATGATAGTAATGGTAGTAGTGTATCGAGGCATCCTTCTCTTTGACAAACTAGTTAATAGGTATGACATTAAGAAATATTATCTGTAAGTATTAGTTTCACTTGACTTCATGTGATTATATATATATATATATATATATATATATATATATATATATATATATATATATATATATATATATATAAATATAATAAAAACTAAAATAATATTCCATGGTCATAATTTATTCCATTGGAATCGTAAATACGATCAATTCATCAGACCTACAAATTCAAAAAAAAAAAAAAAAAAACTCAAAAAAAATAAAAAATAATATATATATATATATATATATATATATATATATATATATATATATATATATATATATATATATATATATGTGTAAAAAAACTTTTGTAAAATATATATATATATATATATATATATATATAAAAAAACTTTCGTATGAATTTTCGATTTTTCATTATAACATTCTCTCTCTCTCTCTCTCTCTCTCTATATATATATATATATATATAGAGAGAGAGAGAGAGAGACAGACAGACAGACAGACATGTGAGTGAATGAATTAACCGATAGCGGCTCGAATTGAGGAATCGGAAACCGAGTTCGAATTCTCGTCGAGTTCATTACATTAACTTACGTGCTAATTCCCTTGGGGAAGGTATGAATATATCTCTTCTCCGCTCCCAGTGATGGGTAAATAGCAGAACAGGTTGAATCCTATAGCCTTGGGTAGCGGCGAACGGTCTACGAGAACAACAGCTCTGAATTCAAAACCTGCGCAGGGTCGTTTTGGCGTACGGTTCCCCAGCTCTCTGTATTCCATTCTTCCAAAAAGTGTGGTTGGTTCTGCACAAGCCGTCATCACTATAATCACATATGTGTGGGTAAATGTTCGGGCAGTCTAGCTATTAGTTCTATGAACAGAGCTGCACGAAAATGTCAGCAGAGTCAAGTGTGTGTGTGCGTGTATGTATATATATATATATATATATATATATATATATATATATATATATATATATATATATATATAGAGAGAGAGAGAGAGAGAGAGGAAGAGACATTCTTCAAAATAATTCGAGCAATTGAAAGGTCGTCAAAATTGCAAAAACTTAATGGAAATTCCGCATTTGCAAATTGGATCGGTTGAGGCATTTTTAGCATCAATCAAATCTTCCAAGACAAAAATTATACATCCTTAAACAGACTAAAGGTGAGCAGACAGCCTAAGTGTTCGTTCATTTAATACAGATGAAAACTTTTGCTTAAGACCTTATTTAAAGTAAAATGATTATTACATTGTAAGAATAATTGAAAACGTCTAGAAAGTTTCGAATATGTAAGCGTATGAATTCAACAAGATATAAGGCCAACATCTTTTTAACCTCAGATTAAGAAAAGGTGATGTTTAAATTAAAAACATTCCAACTTCACATAAAAAAAACGCTTAACTTTTAAATCCAATGGTGGCATGCGTTGTGAAGGCTGTTATAAAACTCTGGATGGCCAAAACATTTGAAATCAGGATGGTTTCGCCGTCAGCATGTGTTAGTTGTACCCAGTACAATTTATTGAAAACAGATAACGATTGACTAAAATTTGAAGTTATTAACATTGAAGTGATCGTAGAAGCATCCTCTTGAGTGTCTCTTCTATAAATTAGCGATTCTTAAAAAGAAGATCTCCGCTTTGAACTTCCATCTTTCCAATTGAGTATGGAGGGAATGAGGATGAATCAACTCTGTGGACATGGCATGCCGGTCCTTAGCAGTAAATTTCTGAACTGGTGGAAATAAGGAATGTAGCTCGTAAGAACTTTTGCCATGAAAATATCAATAGAGAAGCGAGAGGCTTGGAACAATTAATTATACCTAAAACTGAAACTATCAACTTCCCTGTTGAAGAAACGACCTTGGCCTTCTTTGTTGCAGGTGAGGAAGGGTGTTTCCAATGCATAGATTGTCTGTTTGTCTGGATCAAAGCGATGAACCCGACACTTACCCTGGGTTAAGAAACGTTCAAGTAAACAAACTGAATCTACCTTAAATATCAGATTTTCCCGTAATATGGTCAGGCTGGTGCCATTTTGATCAGGTCTCAGAAGAATTTCATTCACTGTGAGAAGATGGCTGTAGGATGGATAAAACATTAAACAACCACAAGGTCACGTAGACGCCAACAATGTCAAAACGGGGAAGAGAGAATTGAGCAGCACAAGCCCATATGTGGCAGCATTCTTGTCTGATTTGGCTCTTGTAAAGATAAAGTATAGTAGAAGGTGTCAAGTCCTCGCTGGAGTGATACGACGAACTGAAGATTTTCTAGCATCTTTAAAGACAGGTCGTATAAAGGAGATTAACTTGAGATCTGGTGGGAAGTTGACTTCCAAGAAACGGCCAAAGAATTAAGAATATAACCGTTCATAATGACAGGAGAAAATTCAGTGTCTGCTCAATGATGATGAAATCTTTCCAGCTTGCTTTAGGAGGCATTAAAAGATAAAAGACAGTTTTTTCAACATTAATGCTGTTAGAGCATGGTCGGAAGAGAGAACAGTTACCAGATTTAAGTCAATTAGATTACACTACTAATGTACATGAAAACGTAGATTCATGTACAGAAACATTTTAAATGTAATATAATGAAATTTTAAAACAATACAATAATCATCGTATATTACAGAGACTGCAGATGAACGGAAACGATATTCTTTTCTTTGTATGTCAAGTGTACATTTGACAGCTTTTTAGAGAGGCTATTTTTTCTTTTTTAAAATGTCATAAATGTCTTATGTATCTTAGACTTGTCTAAATAAATCATCTCAAAGTTTTCATTAGAAAAAGTACCGTTTTTTTTGTTGTATATAATATGACTTGAATATAATACAGCCACGTGTTTCTGAAGCTGAGAATAAATTACTTGAAGTATAATACGACCCCGTAGTGCAGCCATCCCTATGTAATTTTTCTTGAAAAGTTGTAAACTATCATTATTGAGGATAAAACAACCCTGTAGTAGAGTCGTGCCTATTTAAATTCTTTTGAATAGTTATAATATTATCCATTAAAATCTCAAGGTACACAGATTTCACGAATATATTTATTTTTTCACGATATTAAGGAATAGAAACGAACTGTGCATTTAGCCATCACGTGTTTCTTTACCTAATTTCCGTGAAAAAAATTAGATAAATCTTTTGCGATTTAAAAATTACAAATACCAGTGTACACTATATAAAGATGTAATTATGTCGAGGTTGTGTACGTATTTACTTTGTATTGTTTTCTTTTCTTGGGTCTTTTAACGTTTTCAAACTGAATACTTTCTCCCAATAAATAGTGAATATTAAACACCTTCACAGCATGAGAATTATCACCTTATTTTTCAAGTCTTTTAGCTGGAATGAAAGAGTAGAATCTTATTTTATTTTAGATTGGAGAAAGTGCATTCCAATTAGCTTCCGCCTTGCACTAACAGAGTTTGGGTCGGTGTAATGTCGATACAAGCGTAACTTAGGTTGAGGGGACTGGTCATTTTTTGTCCTTAGCTCGTATGCATATTAATGTATATCCGTACCCAACGTTAAAAGCGATCTTCTTTCACATCTTGCCATAGTGAGAAGATTGGAAGAATAAGGACCTTATTATTCAAGCGTAATAAAGCTAAAAATATATATATATATAATTCATACAAAATCTATTTTTGTTTGTAATGTTCATATTATCACACAATTACAGATCTTGTGTATTTTCTTATATTAAATTTTTTAATCAATTTGGGTAAGTATCTTGTCTTTAAGACAAAAAACTTTCAATTAATGTGATTCTCAAAGAACAAATAAAACCGAAATATCAAATTCATTTTGTTAATTATTGATATCAATACCAGCCTACTTTATGTTTTATTATCTTTTGTGTTGATTGTAATAGCGTCATTTAAAATAAGTGGTCTTGAAAAATTAGTAAAAATCTCTGAAAATACGCGTGTATGAAACGACCGCTATTTTTGCCTTTAATTTCGGTTCAATGATTCTCGCATTATGCACAAGAAAATGTGGGTAAAATTTCCAAGCTAACTGTAGCAAAAGATGGTTTGTTAATTTTAACGATTGCAAAGCCTCGTCCGGGTTCCTCTCTGCTCGAGGCAGGGAGTTCGACAGTTGAACAATTTGGTCTGCTGTTGATATTTAACAATCTCCCCACGCGGGATGCATGTGGCACAAGGTCGAGTTTACCGTGAGT